TGAAAGAGAGTCCTATGTGAGACATCAGTTCTATTAGGCTGTTGGGAAAGTATGTCGTATTTTTCTGTTTCTCTATGCAAAAATACATCATGACTTTCCTGACAACCCAGTAATTCTTTCTCTCTTTTTTTTTTTTTCCCTGAACTTTTACAGCAAGAACAGGTATATAATATTATAATATCCTTTATTTTTTACTAGAGAATACTCATACTTGCCAGAGAGAGACACAGGGAAAGGAAAAAGCATCCCCCATGAGGCACGATCACTCAGCATTCCCTTCACTTCCATCTCTCCCTCCTATAGGGATTTTGGGCATGGACATACATGCACCTGGCATATTTCTCAAGCCTTCAGGTCTGTGTCTGGAACTTCTGTGTTTTCCATGTAGGATCTGGCTGCCTTATCTACCAGGCCATGGAGCCAGCCCTATCCTTATTTTCAAAAGAATTGCTAACATACTGTCTATACTAAGGCAGAAAAAATGGACTCAAAGTACCATATAATTTTCAAAGACAAAAAAATTCAGAGTAAAATTGTTTTCATGATGAACAGAACAATCCAGTTCTTTGAGGACTTTCACTTACCGCATGCTCTGGCTAGATTCTGTTTTTGATGATAACTAGTCAAATTGAGCATCTTGGTATGTGGCTAGAAGTATGGGCTTCCTCTTCAACTGATGGAGGTAGCAGTCTCTGCTCTGCCACCCTCTAAACTGAGTGTCGTTGGATCAGTTAGCTCACCTCTTTAAGCCTCTGCACCAGATGTTTTAACTGTATTATCTCAAATCCTTAGAACAATCTGATGAGGATAATCTTTGTTTCACAGATAAAGAACTTAATATGTGAGTACTTTTGAGGATGAAATTAATTAACTCGATGAATAATTGTGGTTTCTAATAATTTGGGAGCAAACTAAATAAGCCAGACTATGAAAGAAAAACACAGTATGTCCCCACTCAGTATATACCAAATGTCTGCAGTCTACGACAGAAAGCGAAAGATACAAGAACATTAATAATGGAGAGGGCAAGTGTAGATATCAGAGGTGGTTGTATGGAAGGCAGTGGATGGGGCGGGGTGTGGAAGGGGCTCAGCAAAACAGCATTTAACAGGCATAGGAACGTTAGGTTCTTTGTTGAAAATGGTATAAATGTGGTGATATCCTTGATTTGATTATCACACACTGCATGTGTATGCCATAAAGATATGCAAAAATTAAATGTAAATAAGGAAATATATAAGTAAAGTGAAAAAAATAATCTGGCATCTTTTAAGCTACCTTAATTCTTACTCTTCCCTAAATTTGTGGATTTAGATGTTTCTTACTTCAGATGATTAAACTTTTTTGATCCTTCTAAAGTGACACCCAGAACATGCAAATTGAGTTAATGGCACTGATACTGACCTTACAGTTTATTCATCTGACAGTTACCTGCTGAATGTGTCGAGAATCTACATGGCCATAAACCATAGCTAAAGTTAATGAAGCAATTATTTTATGACTCTTAAGTCAATGCACAGTTACTTCTTAAAGATTAATAAAAGACGATCAGGAAAAAAGTGCCAGCTACTAATCTCCATAGGAGCACGTAGCTTAAGCTGGCCTAATCTTGCCCTCCCCATGACCCTTGGTTAAGAGGTATCACCTTTGGGGAGTGCTGAATGTTTGTCATTGTGCCTTGTGTACGCTAAGAGTGATGGAGTCAAATTTTTCTTCTTTCTTTCCCTTCTTTTGTTTATATTATTTATTTATGAGAGAATGGGAGATAGACAATTTAGACATGATCTTGCCATCCTCCCTTTCCAGCCTCCTAACTAGCTAGGATAACAGGCATGTGCTGCCATTTCTGGCATGATGAGATTGGCCCAAGAGCTGAACGCAGGCCTCCCATGTGGCTCCAGCTTTGCACAAAGTTGCCCGACCACTTGCACCACTGCAGCTGCACCAGCATGGTATTTTTTATGCACCTTCCAACCTTCTTTTTCAGATTGCTTTTCTGGGCCTGACCTCCCATGAGAGAATCAGCCTGGTGAAGCAGAGCAGGCATATGAAGCAGACATTGTCCCTCAGGAAGACGCCATACAAGTAAGTGAGATTTGTTCTAGTCACTGAGTCTTATGGAAGATCCCTAGCCACTGGCTGCCCAACCTGGTGCCATGGCCCATTGCCACACAGCTCTTCTCTTACTTACTTCTTGGAGTTGAACACTTTCTTGGAAGCCCCATGTCGGGGTTGGATGGTAAGGTCATGAGCCCCACGCTGGTCAGAACTTGGGATTTAGTCTGTTGGACTCAGCACAAGTGGTAAGTGACTTTGAAGTTTTGCCAAGTTGGGGAATCTGTCCAGTCAGGCAGTCAGGCCACACGGTCACAAGGTTGTATGTTGCTGGCGTGGAGTCAATGTGATATAATTAAGCATGTGGCTGAGAAAGCTGGCCACAAGGCACTGTTAGAAAGCCTTGGGCTGAGCACTTTGCCAAGATTCTCAGCCTGGCTTTCTGTCACCAGTTGGTCTTTCAGCCCTGTGATTCATGTGACCCCTGTGTCATGGAGAAGCTGATTTTTCAAGTTTGGGCTGTGGTCCCCCCCCAGAGTACTGGCTGTATAAAACCTGTCTTTCATTGAGATGAGAGTATGGGACGGCTGTCCTCTTACGATATGGAAGACCAGGCTTTGAAGCTTATCTTCCTGCCACCCATATCAAGGTCTCGGAGGCTAGAAGTGCTGCAGAGGTGACCCAGAGCCCTCCAGAGGATTTGAACACTTGCTGCCTATCTCAGGAGTGGTCTATTTTAAAGCACACTTTTGGTACAAGATGAAACTGTTAGACTGTTAGACAAGAAATCAGAGCCTGGAATATGACCACAATGTGTGTTTAGAGGAGAGACATTGACTCAATAGGGAAGAGAGAGAGCTCTGGGGAATGGAGGGTAGTGTAAAGCTCATAATGATTGTTTCAGGTGGGCATTGATAATAAACTCTCACTCTTAGTGGTTTATCCAGAGGAATTAATATATTTATTCCAATAAAGTATGATAGAGGGGGGATTTTAAGCTTGAACCTTCAGAGATGTCGGGCGGGGCCTGATGGAGATAGAAGGAAGGGAATGGTATTCCTGAAGAACGGCCTGAATGGAGGGACAGAGGTGAGAGAGCTGGAGCATGTTTGCTGAGTAATGACCACAGACTAGAGGGACCGAAGGTAAAGCCTGAGAGACACTTCGAATCTAGCTTCCAAAATTCTGCCCAAACCAAAGATTTTACTTGTTTGTCCTCCCCTAAGTTACTTTAATTCACTAACCAGCTCTTGACTGAGGCACCGTACGTTGCTAGCATATCTCCCCACTGCTACCCCGTCATTGCCAGAGCCAGCCCTCTTCCTAGGAAGCTGCTTTCCTAGTAGTACTGGTCCTTCACTGCAACACCACTGCCGTCTAAGTAACACCACCGCCGTCACACCCAAGGCATGGTCATCTAAACAGCAGCTCCATCATCTTCATGAGCAGATGCGTTTGGTGTATGCAGGGGAATGGCTTAGGCACTCCATCATAACTGGGGTAGGTAGTAATACTTCAGGAATTTATGGAGGAAAAATTTTGTGGAAGATGGTTGTAGTCAGGAGGGGAAGGCAGTCCAATGGGAATATGGACATTGATTGGGTTTTGAGAAGTTGTAGGACTTAGAAGGATAAGGGGGTTCCCTGAGGAAAGGGAGGAGAGTGTGAGTTCTAGGCCCACACAGTTATGATCATGGGAAGAAACTCAGCTAGAGAGTTAGAGCAGAAGATCTGTAAAGGTGGATTTAGAGGCCAACCCCAGGACCTACAGTGAAAAGAACTGGATTCCACATGATCAATTGTGGTTTGAATTCTGGCCCTAGCAGCTGGAAAAACATGCCAGGCGCGTATATGCCCCAAATCCCAGTGGGATTGCAGCATGATCACGCCCCATTGAGATGTGCTTTCTCCTTCTCCCTCTCTTTCTCTCTCTGGTGAGCACATGTGCCCTCTGACAATTAAAAAAAAAATGGGTTTGGGAAGCTAAAAAAGGAGGAGTTCATTGTATAGGGCCTTAAATACAAACATGAGGATTTAAATTTGAGTTTCTGGGCAAAGGAGTGCATCTTTAAAGGGTTCTGATTGGGAGGTGGGTGGCCATGAATAGATCAAGGATTTGGAGGACTAGCGTGTCTCCAGTGTGTTCAATGAATTGGAAGGAATTACATTGGGGACATCATTTAGAGAGCTACTTAGAAGGTATAGGGGGAAAAAATACCTATGTTGTTGGTTACAGTTGTTCTGATGTCTGTGGCCTTCGAGGTCATCAAAATCCGAACTAAAAGAGTTATGGAAATCAAAAGTAGGGAACCAATCAGTTGCAGTGACTGATCCAATGATGGAGGACCTAAAGCCAAGTAAAGTACTAAAGAAAATCCCAGCTAAATTGCTGGGCAGAAGCCAGGTAATCTCACAGTGGGAATTGCACTCACTCCATAAGTGGAAGGAGTCATCGATCTTAAGGTCCCATAAGCTCAGGAACTGTCTGATTCCCCTCTGGATTCCTCCAGGATCTTCGAAGGACATTGCAAGTCATAGATGCCCCGTGAGCGTTTGTGGTTTCCATGAATGCTCATCAAGAGCTGCTCAGCAGCGCAGTAAGCCATATTCTCTTCTTTCGTTGGCAGCCTTGGATTCACACAGAACCTGGCAGATTTCTTTCGGTGTGGCTGCTTTGGCTTGGTGAAGCCCTGCGTGGTAGATTGGACATCCCAGTACACCGTGGTCTTCCATCCAGCCAAAGAGAAAGTTCTTCGCTCAGTATGAAGAAAAGCAACAGGAACTCCTCATTCTGATTTGTTTTTGTGTATGTTGCAGTCCTGCAGTCTGAAAGCAAAGTGAGGATTTAGAGTTCACCTAATCCCAAAGGAAATCACAGGTGGTTTTTAAAGCCGTTTGGTAAAAACTACCTTCTCAATAAAGGCATTACACTTTTTCAGGTTTGGAGAGATGGACTGTTCCTGGACAATCTTGGCAGACATCTGAAAAACAAAAAACAAACTTTAATATTTTTTACAAGAAAATGCAAAATACTTTTTTTTTTGGAGTAATATCACTAATGATGGATAAAATATGGAGTATTTTTAGATCCTATATTGGCTGTTTTGCAATAGTACTTTTTTGATAAGTTATTTCAATTTGTTGTATCTATAAATATGTAATATATATATATATATTTAAACAGATGTACCTGTTTTGCTTTCACAATTAATAAAAAAAGTTTTTTGTAGCTGAGACTTAGTTTCTTACACTTAACTTTCTAGAATTGTAAATTGAGGAAAAACTGTATATAGACATAAAGAAACTAATTTTTAATTCCAGGAATTGGTTGAGATTACTGTAAACACAATAAGCCGAATTTGGTTTCATTTTCCATCTTACAGAAAATTGATCTTTACATTTAAAATTTTATCCTATTTTACTCTCAAAATACTAGATTGGTGTGATTGTAGTTATTAATTCTCATTCTGGAGGAAATGCTAATTCACCTTTAACTCTAGGTATATTATTAGGTTGGTGCAAAGGTAATTGCAGTTTTGCATTGTTGAAATTTGCTGTTTGATATTGGATACATTCTTAAATAAATGTGGTTATGTTATACATCATTTTAATGCGCATTGCTCACTTTTTTTTTTTTTTGCTTATTGACTTATTGCTGTTTATTTTATATGTATTTTAGACTATAGAAATGATGTTAGAAATCAAATTCAAGTGATTTTCTTATTCAAGTTCAAAATTGAGTTATAAAGCTGTGGAGACAACGCGCCATGTCAACAACGCGTTGGCCCAGGAACTGCTACCAAACGTACTGTGCAGTGGGGGCTCAAGGAGTTCTCCAAAGGAGACGAAAGCCTCGAAGATGAGGAGCATAGCAGCTGGCCATTGGGAGTTGACAGTGCCCAATTGAGAGCAATCACTGAAGCTGATCCTCTTACAACTACAAAGAAGTTGCCAAGAACTAAACATTGACCATTCTATGGTCATCGGCATTTGAAGCAAACTGGAAAAGTGAAAAAGCTTGTTAAGTGGGTGCTCATGAGCTGACCAAAATTTTTAAAAAATATCTTGAAGGGACCAGCAGTTAGTGTAATAGCTATGTCGCTGGACTCCCATGTAGTCGACTGCAGTTCGCGTCCCGGACCCGGTGGCTTAAAACTCACGCCGGGCGCGTGTGTGTGCGTGCCCAAGATCCCAAGAGGAGTACAGAGGAGAAGGGATTGTGGCGTGGCCATCCCCCCTGGGGGGTGATTTCTCGGTTTCTATCTCTCTGTCTCTATCTGTCTGGTGAGTGCACACTCCCTATAGCAAAAACCTCTCCAAAAAAAAAAAATCATCTTGAAGTGTCATTTTCTCTGTGTGTATGTGTGTTTTTGGTAGGCTTTTGCCATAGGGCATGTGCATTTGCCAGAGAGAGACAGACGGGAAGTGAGAAATCACCCCTCCCACAAGGGAGATGACTACTCCACAGTCCCTTGTCCTCCATTCCCCCCTCTGAATTTTGGGCAGGCATGCACATGTGCCTGCTGTGTATTTCACGTTGCTGGATCCAAGAGTCAAACTTTGGCTGACCACATGGTAGACCAGTACCTTAGCCACCACCATTTGCTGGCCCTGTGTTGTCTTCTCTTATTCTATGTTATGACAAGTGGATTTTATATGACAACTGGCAACAACCAGCTTAGTGGTGGACTGAGAAGAAGCTCCAAAGCACTTCACAAAGCCAAATTTAGACTAAAGAAGAGGTCATGGTCACTATTTGGTGGGGTCTGATCCACTACTGCTCTCTGAATACCAGTGAAACCATTACATCTGAGAAGTGCATTCAGCAAACTGATGAGATATGCACTTTCAGATGGCATGGATCAAAAGAAAGGGCCCAATCTCCATGGCAGCACCCAACCACACGTACAGTCAACACTTCAGAAGTGGAAAGAATTAGTTACAAAGTTTTGCCTCATCTGCCATATTCACTTGACCTCTCGCTAGCCAACCATCACATCTTCAAGCATCTCGACAACTTTTTGTGGGGAAAATGCTTCCACACCCAGCAGGATGCAGAAGATGCTTTCTAAGAATTCATCAAATCCTGAAGCATGGATTTTTATGTTGTAGTAATAAATTTATTTCTCATTTGCAAAAATGTGTTGATTGTAAAGGTTCCTATTTTGATTAATAAAGATGTGTTTGAACCTGTATAATAATTTTAAAATTCATGGTCCAAAACCACAATTGCTTTTGCACCATCCTAATATTATATACAAAGGGACTTCAAGAAATTTGTGAGAAATGTAATTTAAAAATTAAAAAAAGTAAGGTTTATTTCTCAACTAAGCTTCCTTAATTTCAAGACCCTTTTGTAAGCAACGACATTAACATTTTAGCCCATCCCTAAAGATTGAGCATTTTGGGGACCAACAGATGGCATAATGGTTACATTGCTGGACTCCCACATAGTCGACTGCAGTTTGAGTCCCAGACCTGGTGGCTTAAAACTCATGCTGGATGTGTGTATATGAGTGCCCAAAATACCAAGAGGAGAGTGGAGAAGGGATTGCGGCATGGCCATACCCGCTGAGGGGTGATTCCTTGCTTTCTGTCTCTGGCGAGTGCATGTGTCATATAGCAAAAATCTCTCTTTAAAAATAAAAATGGGGGCTTTGAGAATTTAACCATGTCAATGCAGTCTTTTTTTTTTTTTTTAACATTATTCACTGAAGAAAAGCGGGTGCCCTTTGATGATTCTTTCAGATTAGGAAACAAGTCAGAAGGGATCAATGACAGAAGCATTGTCATGGTCGAAAAGGACTCCGATGAAGCTTCCCCGGACATTCTGCTGAAGCTTCAGCTAACTTTCTCAAAACACTCTCCTAAAGAGCAGATTTTGGCCGTGCAGAAAGTCAACAAGTAAAATGCCTTGAGCATCCAGAACAAACTGTTGCCATGACCTTTACCCTTGACTAGTCCACTTTAGCTTTGACGGGACGACTTCACCTCTGGGCAGCCATTGCTTTCGTTGTGCCTTGTTCTCAGGATCAGACTGGGAAAGCAAAATATCATCTATTGTTACGGTTTTTTTAAAAAAATAATTTCAGGATCTTGATCTCACTTGTTTAAAATTTCCATGGAAAGGTCTGCTTTTGTCTGTAGCTTTTCTGGGCATACTAGTTTTGGTACCCATTGAGCAGACAGTTTGCTCAACATGAATTTTTGTCAGAATTGTGCAAGCTGGACTTACCGAGATGTCTGTCATGTCGACTGTTGTTTCTGCTGTTAGTTATCAGTTCCCATCAATTAGTGCACAAACAATGAATTTTTTTCTTGCAACTTGATATGGATGGTCTGCTGCTACAGGCATCATCTTCAGTGTTGTATGGACCCTTCTTCAAATGAGCTATTTGTGAGACCAGCCAGCAGTTGGCATAATGGTTACGTCACTGGACTCCCAAGTAGTTTGAGTCCTGGGCTTAGCGATTTAAAACTCACACTGGGCACATGTACATGCATGCCCCAAACCTCGAGAAGATATTGGAAGAGAAAGGATTGTGGTGTGGCCATCTCCCCTGGGGGGTGATTTCTCACTTTCTGTCTGTCTCTGTCTCTCCAGCGAGTGCATACACCCTATAGCAAAAAATATCTTTCTTAAAAAAAAATGAGGTATTTATAGATTGCTGATTTTTTCACGGTCATTGTCCCCATAAACTTTCTGTAAGCATCTTTCATCCAAACTTCACCATAAATTTGAAATTTGTTCTTGCTTCAATTTTAGCAGAATTCACATTGCTTCAGTGGGGGCTCTTTTCAAACTGATATCTTATCCTCCTTTAATGTTTCAAATTAGACTCTGTTCAAACAGGTCATAAATTATCATGAGTTGTTTTAAACCAAGGAGAAAAAAAATTGAAGCTCGTGTGTGGTGTTTTTAATTATAGGCATGTTCCATGAACGTTTTGGAAGGCCCCATCCTCTGCATCCCTAGCCATGACACCTTTTTGCTGAAAAACCTTCTGTGGGTTCCCACTACTCTTAGGGCAGAAGCTAAAATTCTCCTCATGACTTCCAAGTCCTTGAATGATATAACCCTGTTTTGTTGGTCAGTGTTACTCTGAACCAGACTTAGTACTTTAATCACTTGGACCTTTCAATTCTTCAAAGATTCTCCTTGAGAATCTTTTTTTGTACAGAACCTTTTCAAAAAGGAAACTAAAGCCAAAAGGTATTTGTATCTCTTCCGTGGTCACATAGATGGTAAGTGGAGTAGCCACTCTCAAGTCCCAGTCACCTACAGTATTGCTAAGCACACAATATTTATGCCATAAATATTTGAATTATTGAGATGTTGGAAATGATACATTTTTGCATAGAAAAACAGAAATATATGTCATGACTTTTCCAATGACTTAATAGTTGAATGAATTAAAGTTTTTTTTTTTTTTTAAATAAGACATAACGTCAGAATTCCTGTGTTTAAAGAAAGTGATTCTTAAATGGGGGACCAAAGAACTTTTTTTTTTTTTTTTAAGAGAGGATTTTGCTATAGGGCATGTATATTTCTTGCAAGAGAGAGACAGAAGGTGAGAAATCACCCC